TGCACGGAGGAAAAATGTGTTTCGTTTTGGATTTGTTCATTAAGGTAACAATGATTCGTTTTCGGAATTCGTTTCGTATATTCATTTTTTTTTTTCCAAATCAATTCGAAAATTTGGAAGATGACTATATTCATTCTATTTTTTTCTATTCAATTATTTTATTTTCTATTCTATTTTATTCCTTTATATTCTCCTACATTGTAAGCTCCCAGGATCAGGGCCCTCCTATCCCTCTTGTATTGAACTGTATTGTTACTGTATTGTCTCCCTTTATATTGTAAAGCGCTGAGCAAACTGTTGGCGCCATAAATCCTGTATAATAATAATAATATATAAATCCTGTATAATAATAATTCTGTTGTATTTTATTTGATTCTCTTCTGTTTTATTCTTTTATATTCTAGCCTGTTTTATTCCTGCTCTCTAGCTCCCTTGTCTCCTCCTCCCATGTTCTTCTCCAGAGCTTCCCTCATCCTCTGGAACTCTCTATCCCAGTCTATCAGACTATTGCCTACTCTGCTCACTTTGAGGCGATCTCTGAAAACCTCTCTCTTCAGGGAAAGCCTATCCTGCCTTCAGTTAATCACAGAATCTTCTATTCCTTCTACTAATCCATCCTGCACAGGTATCTTTTATACCACTAGCCCCTCCCTCTTAGATTGTAAGCTCCCAGGATCAGGGCCCTCCTATCCCTCTTGTATTGAACTGTATTGTTGCTGTATTGTCTCCCTTTATATTGTAAGTGTACAATCCAAACGCACACGTTCCTGCGTTAAAAATGGCGGTGTGTATATGTGGGTGCTGCAGCGACCGTCGGCTGGAACTGAACAGAATCAGCGAGGGAGAATGTCACCAGCCTGATGAAGGGGTCCTTCGAGACTCCGAAAAGTTGCCTTGCTGTAACGATGTGATCGTTCATTAAAACTTTTGGACCCATATTGGTGATCCTCGGTGTGCTGGTGACATTTTCCCTCCCTTATATTGTAAAGCGCTGAGCAAACTGTTGGCACTATATAAATCCTGTATAATAATAATAATAATATAAATCCTGTATAATAATAATAATATAAATCCTGTATAATAATAATAATAATAATATATAAATCCTGTATAATAATAATATATAAAATCATGTATAATAATATATAAATCCTGTATAATAATAATAATAATATATAAATCCTGTATAATTATAATAATATAAATCCTGTATAATAATAATATATAAATCCTGTATAATAATATATAAATCCTGTATAATAATAATAATAATATATAAATCCTGTATAATAATAATAATATAAATCCTGTATAATAATAATATATAAAATCCTGTATAATAATAATAATAATAATATATAAATCCTGTATAATAATAATAATAATAATAATAATATTCTGTTCTTTTATTGTCTATGTTATTCTGGTTTATTCTATTCTATTTATTCTATTCTGATCTTTTCAATTCTATTTTATTGTACTCCGTTTTATTTTATTCTTTTATATTCTATTCAGTTATCTATTTTATTGTATTCTGTTTTGTTCTATTTTTTTATATTCTATTCCTTTTTTTCTATTCTTTACTTTTACATTGCATTCTATTCTTTTATAGTCTACTCTATTCTATAAAGCAACCTAAGTTGGAATCATCATCTTATTTCACTTTTATACCTTACTATATTTATTGCAGTATGTTTCCATTTCTAAATAAAATTCATTCTCAGATTCGAATTCACTTTCGAATTTGGATAATTTGTTTCATTATGATTTATTTTGGATTCATTGAAATTCATACCTCTTGCGATTCTGAAATTCAGACCCATCCAAATCTCTGAATAATGAAAATGTCATCTGAATTTCAATTAGTTACGAAACAAATCACACATGTCTAGGTGTAATTGCATCCCTAGGAATATACATGAGAGGCTTTATTCAAATTTAACCGCCTCCCACCTGCCATATAAGGAAATGATGGATGGGCGGCGGTTCTCTTGTTCTCATATGACGTCCTCCCACTCTAACTGTGCATGCGCGCCCCCCCGGAGATCGGTGGTGCACTGTGTCCCTGGGACACAGCGGATCACCAATCAGAGGAAAGAGCCGATGACGTCGGCTCTATCATGTGATCAGCTGTGTCCAATCACAGCTGATCGCATGTAAAGGAAATGCCGGTTATCGGCATTCCTCTCCTCACGCTGACAGTGCGTGGGGAGAGGGGAGCCGGTAAGTGGCATTCCTCAGAGGGACATGTACACTGATAAGGGCACTGATGATCCGTGTAGCCCCATCAGTACCACCTGTCAGTGCCCATCAGTGCACATCAATGCCACATATCAGTGGCCATTTGAGCTGCCTCTCAGTGCCGCCTATCAGTTCTAGTCAGTGCCACCTACCAGCGCCATGTATGAATGCTGCCTTTCAGTGCCCATTAGTGATGCCTGTCAATGCCCATCAGTTCCACCTACCAGTGCCTCCTCATCAGTGCCCATCAGTGCAGCCTCATTAGTACACATCAGTGAAGGAAATAAATTACTTATTTTCAAAATTTTATAACAGAAACTAAGAAAAAAACTTTTTTCCCCAAAAATTTTCAGTCTTTTTTTGTTTAGCAAAAAATAAAAAACCCCAGTGGTGATTAAATACCACCAAAAGAAAGCTCTATAGGTCTCAAAAATATGATAAAATTTTCATATGGGTACAGTGTTGCATCACCGCGCAATTGTCATTCAAAGTGCGACAGCGCTGAAAGCTGAAAATTGGCCTGGGCAGGAAGGGGGAGTATATATCATGTGATTCAGGTGTTCCAATCCCCTCCATGGACACAGGTGTATACAATCAACCCCCTAGGCATGCAGACTGCTTCTACAAACATTGGTGAAAGAATGGGTCGCTCTCAGGAGCTCAGTGACTCCAAGCGTGGTCCCGTGATACGTGGTCACCTGTGCAATAAGTCCATCCGTGACATTTACTGGCTACTACATATTCCACGCTCAACTGTTAGTGGGATTATAACAAAGTGGAAGCAACTGGGAACAACAGCCACTCAGCCACCAAGTGGTAGGCCACGTCACATGACAGGGCGGGGTCAGCGCATGCTGAAGCGCCCAGTGCGCAGAAGTCGCCAACTGTCTGCAGAGTCAATAGCTAAAGACCTCCAAACTTGGTGTGGCCTTCAGATGAGCCCAACAACAGTGCGTAGAGAGCTTCATGGAATGGGTTTCCATGGCTGAGCAGCTGCATCTAAGCCTTACATCACCAAGTGCAACGCAAAGCGTCGGATGCCATGGTGTAAAGCACGCCGCCACTGGACTCTAGAGCAGAGGAGACGTGTTCTCTGGAGTGACCAATCACGCTTCTCTGTCTGGCTATATCCGATGGGCGTGTCTGGGTTTGGCGGTTCCCAGGAGAACGGAACTTCTGCACTGTGCCAAGTGTAAAGTCTGGTGGAGGGGGGGATTATGGTGTGGGGTTGTTTTTCAGGGGTTGGGCTTGGCCCCCTAGTTCCAGTGAAAAGAACTCTTAAAGTGTCAGCATACCAAGACATTTTGGACAATTTCATGCTCCCAACTTTGTGGGAAGAGTTTGGGGATGGCCCCTTCCTGTTCCAACATGACTGTTCCAACAAGGCCGGCCCACCAATACTTTCGGCAATATAGTATATCTGATGGTGGAGAGAATGTCTGCCTGACCCGATCTGGTAATCAGCTGGTGGTTCAGCAAAAGAAAAAAAAAAACACACAAAATGAAATAATGAGTTTGTATTTCCAGAGGGGAGAAGGTTGATCCCAGAGTACCTGTCCTCCCATGGCCGGCTGTTGTATATGTTTACCTGGAGCACTGCCATTTACATGTATTTGTAAGTATTTGTTATAACGTGGACATTGGCACACAGGAGCGCTCTCACTGTATTGAGCCATTATACCGCAGGGTTGCCAACCGTCAGTAAATTTACAGACAGTTTCTAAAAGTCGGCAATTTTTACAACTGTCTGTAAAAATCAGGGGCTGATAATTCGTCATGCTGCGTTGACTTTTGTAATTGTAAACCAGTTCAATTACTTCTACTAATTACAGTGTTTCCAGATTGTGTTTATACTGTTTAATTATTGATTGTCTTAATTTTCGGGCAGCCTAGTGGCTAAGTGGTTACTTCTGTGGCAGTACTAGGGTCGCAGGTTCAAATCCCAACCATGGCACCACCTGCCTGGAGTTTGCATGTTCTCCCTGTGCCTGCGTGAGTTTCCTCCGGGTACTCCGGTTTCCTCGCACGTTCCAAAGACATGCTGGAAGGTGAATTGGCTCCTGTCTAAATTTTCCCTAGTGTGTGTATGTATGAATGTGAGTTAGGGACCTTAGACTGTACGCCCCTTGAGGGTTAGGGACCTTAGATTGTACGCCCCTTGAGGGTTAGGGACCTTCGATTGTACACCCCTTGAGGGTTAGGGACCTTCGATTGTACGCCCCTTGAGGGTTAGGGACCTTCGATTGTATGCCCCTTGATGGTTAGGGACCTTAGATTGTAAGCCCCTTGAGGGTTAGGGACCTTAGATTGTACGCCCCTTGAGGGTTAGGGACCTTAGATTGTACCCCCTTGAGGGTTAGGGACCTTAGATTGTACGCCCCTTGAGGGTTAGGGACCTTAGATTGTACACCCCTTGAGGGTTAGGGACCTTAGATTGTACGCCCCCTTGAGGGTTAGGGACCTTAGATTGTATGCCCCTTGAGGGTTAGGGACCTTAGATTGAGGGTTAGGGACTGATGTGAATGTACAATATGTATGTAAAGTGCTGTGTAGATTGATGGCGCTATATAAGTACCTGAAATATTAAATAAATAATTTTTAATGTCATTTTCAGGTTGTCAGTAAAAAGTGCGATCCGACAGGAAATTTGCCATGTTTTGTCAGTAAAAAATGCTGCGGGAGGTTGGCAACCCTGGTCGACCGCTGGATCTAATGGCAGATTATTTCATCACCTGATGGTGTCGGTCCTGATTCCTGGGCAGCGGCTGTAACTCCAAGCCCCGCCTCCACAATGACGCTGGGTTTGTTCACATCTGTATAATAAGCCAGTATTTCTACATCTCGATCGAACTTGTGTCCCTCCTCCAGCGACACCTGCAAAGGGGAAATCACATCACTGTAGTAGCGCATTTGCAGTAATCCGTCATCTTCTGTATATGGGGGGGGGGGGGGGGGGGGGGGGGGGGGGGGGGGGGGGGGGGGGGGGGGGGGGGGGACATGAACAAATCGGAGGACTGCCAAATTAGAACAAAAAGGAGCTCTTATTTCTTTCTTTTACGTTTTCTTTCATGACACACATACAAGATTTGATGGTTTATGGACACACGTTCACCCTGATATTGTGTATTGGAATATTGTAGCAGTCTGAGAGTATGCCACGCGTGTCACAAGGTCGGGGGGCTGAATCTGGCCCACCAGGCCATTTTATGTGGCCCTTGCACTTCTCATTGCTGGCGTGGCACCCCCTCATCTCCATCCCCCCCCATGTTTCAGCAGTTGGCAGCAGAGAGGAGGATAGAGCTCCTTCTACAGATCCTGCTATTCACCATGCAGCTGCAGAGAAGTGTGTCTCTCCCCCCCCCCCCCCAATTCTGTCTCAGCAGTCAGCAGCAGAGAGTGGACAGAACTCCTCCTACATATCCTGCTCTTCTCTGTGCAGCTGCAGAGAGGTTTGTCTCTGCCCCCTCATCCTGTCTCAGCAGTCAGAAGCAGGAAGGAGGACAGAACTCCTCCTACAGATCCTGTGCTTCTCCATGCAGCTACAGAGAGGTTTGTGTCTGCCCCCCCATCCTGTCTCAGCAGTCAGCAGCAAAGAGGAGGACTCCTTCAGATCTTGTGCTTCTCTGTGCAGCTGCAGAAAGGTTTTTCTCTGCCCCCGCCCAGCCTGTGTCAGCAGTCAGCAGCAGAAAGGAGGACAGAACTCCTCCTACAGGTCCTGTGTTTCTCCATGCAGCTGCAGAGAGGTGTGTCTCTGCACCCCCCCCCCCATCCTGTCTCAGCAGTTGGCAGCAGAGAGAACAGAACCCCTTACATATCCTGATCTTCTCTGTGCAGAGGCAGAGGTTTGTCTCTGCCCCCCACATCCTGTCTCAGCAGCAGGGAGGACAGAACTCCTCCTACAGATCTTGTACTTCTCTGTGCAGCTGCAGAAAGAACTCCTCTTACAGATCCTGTGCTTCTCCATGCAGCTGTGGAGAGGTTTGTCTCTGCCCCCCCCCCCCCCCCCCTCCAGTCTCAGCAGTCAGCAGAAGAGGACGACAGAACTCCTCCTACAGATCTTGTGCTTCTCCATGCAGCTGCAGAGAGGTTTGTCTCTGACCCCCCCCCCCCATCCTGTCTCAGCAGTCAGCAGCAGAGAGGATGACAGACCCTGCACCGCTCTGTGCAGCCGCAGCACCCCCTCTGGCCTCCACATTCAGTAGACTCCTATTGTCCTCCTCCAGACCCTACACTCTCTGCTTCCCAGCTCTGCCCTTAGCTTCTGCCTGGCAGCAGCACAAGGTAAGGGGGGGGGGGGGGGGGGGGTGCAATGTGATGTAAGGGAGGGTGGTGGACTCTTGACTTCTGATGGGGCTCTTGACATCTGATATAAGTGGGGGCGGGGTGCAACCATAATACTGATGCAGGGCCCACAATGAAGTTGAGTTTGACACCCCTGCAATATGCAGTCAACAAAAGAAAGGAGTCTTGACATTATTCTGCGTCCCGCTCACCTGGGCACTAGTCTTGTCACAATCTGTGTACTCCATGGGGGTGATGGTACAGTTGGACTCGATCTTGGCGATGCCATAGGTGGACTTGAAGTGAGCCTTCAGACTCAGCGTGTACGGGATCTCACCAATCGGCACCTGAGGACGTGTAGCCGTTATGCTCACATCCTGATCTAGAAGAGATAAAAAGAAAAAGGAAATATTTTATTGTTCAAAATGCAGAACAATGCCTGTAAGGAAAAACGGATTTCCATAATCCAGAAGGGACCAGTGCGTAGTTATGCTGCTCATACTTCCGATCACAAGGGAATTGCTGGATGTACTTTGACAGGAAGGCGCATGCATGGAATTAGCACGCTAAGCTTGGTGCCCGGCAGCCTATATACACTGGTGGACTGTGAAGAGAAGATGCTGAATGGGTTTCAGCTTCAACTTGTTCCTACTATTCCCGATACCTGATCTTCTCTTACTAATGTATGACCCAGCTTGCTCTCTGGACTTTTGTCACCTGTTACGTGCTTCTGACCTTGGCTGGCTTATTGAACTTGCCCCTGCCTTCTGATTCTGTACTCCGCTGCCCGGCACTTACCGGCCCCGGCTTGCTTCCTGGACCTTGCCTTGCCCCTCAATTCTACTCCCTCTCTGCCTGGCTGTTGCTGACCTTGGCTTGTCCCTTGGATCCTTCTATCTCTTGTTATGATACCAAACTGTTCCTGTGTCCAGACCCTGTCCAGAGATCTGCAGCTTTAAGCTCTACTTGTCTAGCTCCAGCATAGAATCTCCTAGCTCCAGCATAGAATCACCTAGTTCCAGCGTAGTCTCCTCTAGCTCCAGCATAGAACCACCTAGTTCCAGCATAGTCTCCTCTAGATCCAGCATAGAACCACCTAGTTCCAGCATAGTCTCCTCTAGATCCAGCAAAGAACCACCTAGTTCCAGCGTAGTCTCCTCTAGCTCCAGCATAGAACCACCTAGTTCCAGCATAGTCTCCTCTAGCTCCAGCATAGAACCACCTAGTTCCAGCATGGTCTCCTCTAGATCCAGCATAGGTTTATCTAGCTCCAGCATAGAACCACCTAGTTCCAGCATAGTCTCCTCTAGATCCAGCATAGAACCACCTAGTTCCAGCATAGTCTCCTCTAGATCCAGCATAGAACCACCTAGTTCCAGCATAGTCTCCTCTAGATCCAGCATAGGTTTATCTAGCTCCAGCATAGAACCACCTAGTTCCAGCATAGTCTCCTCTAGCTCCAGCATAGAATGACCTAGTTCCAGCATAGTCTCCTCTAGATTCAGCAAAGAACCACCTAGTTCCAGCATAGTCTCCTCTAGCTCCAGCATAGAACCACCTAGTTCCAGCATAGTCTCCTATAGATCCAGCATAGAACCACCTAGTTCTAGCATAGTCTCCTCTAGATCCAGCATAGAACCACCTAGTTCCAGCGTAGTCTCCTCTAGATCCAGCATAGGTTTATCTAGCTCCAATATAGGCTCTCCTAGCTCCGGCATAGACTCGAATAGCTGCAGCATAGCTCATGTCCAGACTGCATACCTCAGCACTCTGGCCACTCCATGTACTTACTGTATACTCTGTCCTCACTTTCAGGAGTGTTGGGCAGGAGGTGCAAAAAGAGTTCATAAGTTCCCCACTCTCCACTAAGTACATGATTGCATCATTAAATGTTCCCGTTTTCTTGTTCCCGGCACAGACTCCTCTACTAGCTCCGGCATAGATGGCCAGACTGCAAACCTCAGCACTCCGGCCACAGCATGTACTTACTGTATACTCTTTGTCCCCACTTTCAGGAGTGTTGGGCAGGAGGTGCAAAAGGAGTTCCTAAGTGCCCCCGTCTCCACTAAGCACATGATCACATCATTAAATGTTCCCGTTTTTTAGAAGGACAAATTAAAAGTGAGCCTGAGGTGACCCAAATGTTTGTAACGTAAAAATAGTGAAATTCGAGTACTTTTGTTAGTCTTCAAATCGATCCCTGAGTGCACCCCTGTGGAGCTCCTTGGATCCATGTTGTGACATCGCCAGGTGACCATGCCCCCATGAGGTTAATTGGGGATCCCGTGGCTATGACATCATGGGGGGGGGGGCATGGGTGTCACTGGGTGACCTTGCCTCCGTGTTTATTTGGCAACAGGCGGGGAGCGGCTGTCATTCTACGAGTGCCTCTCGATAGGAGCGGTTATGTTCGGCGAGATTTTTTTTCATGTGGGTTGGCTTTCATCATGATGGAAGCTGGATTTACATTGGGGGACATGTTTATTATTACAATTTGTTTTTAAAAATTACTTGTCAAAAACTGTGTTATTGTTTTTATTCATTTATGAAATTGTTTTGGCTAAGGGGAAGGGCTACTATGTACCCCATACTCACATGAGGGGGTAGGATCTGTCAGCCCCCCTTGTTAAAGGGGGCTTCTAGACACAGATAAGTCATTGCCCACACACTTCCACAACCACCAGGCCAGGGTTGTGGGGAAGAGGCCATTGTCCTCAACATGTGGACAAGGTGCTTTTGGGGGGCCTCCCCATGTTGAAGGCATGTAGCCTGGAGGGGAGGAGCACTCCGTTTCCCCCCTCCCTATTTCCTGGCCTGCCAGGCTGCATGCTCAGTTCAGGGTCTGGTGTGGAATTCGGGGGGCCCCACGCCTTTTTTTTTTTTTTTTTAAATGTTCCTGCAGGGTCCCTGTAACGGAACCGGACCCAAACTGCACTTGGGTATTTCCAATAGACTCCCGCTTCCCTGTCCGAACACCGACCACGGACCCCACCGCTGATCATACAAGACTAGAGACCACCAGACTTGAAGGAAACCAGAAAATAGACTGCTTTATTTTAACACAGACACAATATATATACATTCAAGGGAACAACCCACCTCCCTGCATAACGACACAGGGCGGGGCAAACCAAATCTAGCAACAAGAAACACATCAGCAGACAGTCCCATCAGGGGGAATGGCTGCCGGAAACACCCCCCCACCAAGCCAATACACAAGCACATACATCCCATAGTTTTCTCCCAAGCAAGACACACAATAGAACAATGGGACACCACCACATGGCATTAAATAATGACCAACCCCCCCACCCCGCCTATACATGTCTACACAATATCAGGACAGCTCACCCTGCACCCCTAACAGGCACAGGGTGACTTACACATAATAGGGATATGGGGAGCTGAGACAGGGGTTTCCCCACTTCTCCAAAGTGAGCTGTGTTCCATGGGCCCCCCACCCAAAGTGACTCCCGTCACAGTCCCCCTTAAAATCCATACCAGATCCAAAGGGCCTGGTATGGATCAGTGGAGGACCCCTAGCCGTTTTCTTTTTAATGCCTCTTTTATTTACATTCTGGTGTTATGATTAGCCAACATCGCAAGCAAGTCACCTGAAAGTTGCAAGCAAATCGCATCACAGACACAAGCAAGTCACCAAAATAACAGAACAAGCAAATCCGAAAAACCTTCCGAAAAATATGGATTGATTAGGAAAAAGCGAATATGAAAAACAAATTCCTAAAAAGACACATCTATGATGCAAAAGCCTCTAGAGGGTCATAGGAACTGGTCTAAAGACTAGCACAAGGTTCTTGGTATCTACACTTGTTGCTTTAGAAACATTTTGGGTCATGTCAAGTTCACTTGAGGGTTAGTGGACCTCTCAGAAAAGCAATAAATTGATAAACAAAAACAACTTATTTGTACTTGTACCTTTTGGGGTGTATCTCGGGTTAAGGATGGCTGGGAGAGCAAAACGCACAGCTCCATCTGCCTCCACCGGCAACTCCCGCACATATTTCAAGGTGACCTCGGCCTCCTGGCCAGGAGGGAGATTCCCAACACTGCAGCTAAAGACGTCCGCAGAGCTCTCATCTTCCTCCAAGAGGAAGGCTTGATCGCCTCGGCTCATGGCCTCATCGTAGGTTTTGTGAGCCTGGAGAAGAGAGGGAGGAACAGCAAACCCTTTACTGTTGTGTAATTTGAAGAGTTTTACAGCAGTTTAGATCTATGAATATGACCAATGTACACAGTTTCAATAAATTGGAGCACTACCCCCTTAAGGGCCACTGGATTTGAATTGGGTCCTCTCAAGCTCTGCACGGCCAGACAACACACATGTTCTATATCTTGCACACTGGAGTCAATAAACAGTCCTTGGGCTTGGTTTTGGGATTTTATTAAGAGGTTAAACTCGGATGGGGTCTAGGGGTATATGGAATGCCCGAGGAACTTGAGGACAACTCCTTAACAACTATGTACAAGAAAAATGCAAGTAGCATCTCTTGTAAAAAGTACTGAAAGCTCTTTTGATGTACCTCCTCAGACCCTGGATGATTCCTCCTCTTCACCCAGCTGCCCGAGGGTATCCCTGAGCAACGGGGGCCCCAAGAGCTGCCAATTTAGAGAAGTTCCAAATGAGGAGCTAGTCGGGTCTTGCATCTGACTGCCCTCTCACCACCCATGGGGTGTAAGAGTACTCACACTGTCCTCTCCTGTCAGCTTAGTGGGTTGGTGGCTGCCTTCAGGCCTTTTGCTGTGTTGGCTCCTTCCCTGCTGCTCAGGATGATCTCCCCAGGAGATGGTAGCTCAGTGGAGGTCCTCTCATCCAGCAACCTGCCCGTAGGTAGGCCTTCTCCCTGGGCCCCCTCTCCCAGACTCCACACTCCAGCGATCCTCACTCCATCTTCCACCCAACACTGACTATTACCCACTAGGCTCTTGGATATTTTAGGTTACCTTGGTCACCATGCCCAGCCTCATGCCAGGGGATTGGCCAAGTCCCTCAACATGCAGATCTGGGCCTCCTCCCCTCCTCTACCCCGTTCCAGAAAGTTCCTAACTTTCTAGAAAGGTGAGAGGGCTCAGAAGCCCTGATCTGTTAGAGCCTAGCCTCCCAACCTGTCCTGGGGTGACCTCACTACCTCACTCCCAAGCCGACTCATCCCAGGCTACTCCTCAGCAGCTGTAAAAAAATAAACCAACAAACCTATCTAGCTAACTTGGAGGGCGTTACAATGTATATTTTTATTATGATGAAAACTACATTGTAAACTAATGATCTGTCCACAGTGTGCAGAATTGTTTGCATTACTAAACTCCAACTAACTCTACATTTTGTATCCAGTTTTTCTGTTGATTCTCCAAAAATAGAACGAACTAACAGCCTGACTATGACTAAAGATCATAAAACCTGATATACATCCGCAGATCGGTAGATTATTCGGCCCAACTGGTGAACACACATTCTATATCTCATCTACAAAGCAACATGGACAAATGTTATGAGTACACTACTGTTCACCCATCCAATGGCAGAGCCCAATGTGTCAGATTACAGCCTTGGCCAAAGATTTATGGGGCCCCAACAGGTCTCAGTCATCAACATGAAAGGGTGACCCAACCATTGGACCGCAGGCCTAAGAATTTATATCATATTTTAATTATTTCATAGTTTAATGAAAACCCAAAGAGTGTATAATCATGTCTCAGGTGAATGTTGAACAGGGCTTTTTTTTCAGAAGGAACGCGGGGGGATCGCAGTTCCGGCACCTCTAGCAGTTCCATTACCTCATGTATGTTAATGATTCTGAGGTGTACTGGAGGGTCTATTGATGCTAGTGGGGGATCTATTTTTGCTGGGGATGTCTATTATTGCTGTTGGGGGATCAATTGTTATGAGGGGGTCTTAGGTTGCTGGGGGGGATCAGCTTTTGCTGGGAGTTGACGCAGAAGTCTATTGATGCTGGCTGCGGGAGGGTCTATTAATGCTGGCTGCTGGGAGATCTGTTGTTGCTGGGGGTCTATTGTTGCTGGGGTGGTATTTTGTTTCGGGGGGTCCATTGTTGCAGGGGGGTCCATAGTTGTAGGGGGGATTATTGTTGCTGTTGGGGGATTGTTATGGAGAGGGTCTATTGATACTAGTTGGGGGGACTATTTTATTTTCTTATATAGCTGGGGGAGATCATTAGTTGTTGGAAGAGATCTACTGATGAGGGAGAAGTCTATTGATGCTGGCTGCTGGAGGATCTATTGATGCTGCCTGCTGGGAGATCTGTTGTTGTTGCTGTGGTGGATCTATTGTTGCTGTGGTGGTATTTTGTTTTTTGGGGAGGGGGGGGGAACTGTGAACTATTGTTGCTGTTGAGGGATAAATTGTTACTGAGAGGGTCCGTTGATGCTAGTGGGGGGACTATTTTCTTTTCTTAAGTTGCTGGGGGTGATCAGTTTTTGCTGGAAGCGATCTACTGTAGAGTGAGAAGTCTATTGATGCTGGCTGCTGGGAGATCTGTTGTTGTTGCTGTGGGTTTATTGTTGCTGGGGTGGTATCTTGTTTCGGGGGGTCCATTGTTGCAGGGGGGTCCATAGTTGTGGGGGGAATTATTGTTGCTGTTGGGGGGGATTGTTATGGAGAGGGTCTATTGATACTAGTGGGGGGACTATTTTATTTTCTTATTGCTGGGGGAGTACAGTTGTTGGAAGAGATCTATTGATGAGGGAGAAGTCTATTGATGCTGGCTGCTGGAGGATCTATTGATGCTGCCTGCTGGGAGATCCGTTGTTGCCGGGGTGGATCTATTGTCGCCGGGGTGGATCTATTGTTGCTGGAGTGGGTCTATTGTTGCTGGGTGGTATTTTGTTTTTTGGGGAGGGGGGCATTGTGAACTATTGTTGCTGTTGAGGGATCAATTGTTACTGAGAGGGTCTGTTGATGCTACTGGGGGGACTATTTTCTTTTCTTATGTTGCTGGGGAAGATCAGTTTTTGCTGGAAGCAATCTACTGTTGAGGGAGAGGTCTATTGATGCTGTCTACTGGGAGATCTGTTGTTGTTGCTGGGGTGGTATTTTGTTTTGGGGGCTCCATTGTTGCAGGGGGGTCCATAGTTGTGGGGGGAATTATTATTGCTGTTGGGGGATAAATTGTTATGGAGAAGGTCTGTTGATGCTAGTGGGGGGGACTATTTTATTTTCTTATGTTTCTGGGGGAGATCAGTTGTTGCTGGAAGCGATCTACTGTTGAGGGAGAAGCCTATTGATGCTGACTGCTGGAAGATCTGTTGTTGTTTCTTTGGGGCCTGTTATCACTGGGGTGGATCTATTGTTGCTGTGGCGGTTTGTTTGGGGGGGGGGGGCATTGTGAAGTCTATTGATGCTGGCTGCTGGAGGATCTGTTGTTGCTGGTGGTCTATTTTCACTGGGGTGGATCTATTGCTATTGAGGTGGTATTTTGTTGCGGGGGTCCATTGTTGCAGGAGGGTCCATAGTTGGTGGAGGGTCTACTGTTAATGTTGGGTCTAATGTTGCGGGGGGATCTATTGTTTCTGGCTGCAGTGTTTTACTGCTATGTTTGCGATTAACAAATTCCATACAAATTACTTTCACCACAAAATGATACTTGGTTCTATACCTTCTAAAAGGGGTGGTAATGGGAGGTGGGTAGGGGGTGGAACCAAGGAACGGTGGTCGGAGGTGGGTAAGTGGGTGGAGACAAGGGGGGGTGTTCTTGCACCTATTATCTAACAAAAAAAGCCCCGATGTTCAATATGTTTTGCTGTGTTTGTCTTGCAATCCTCATTACCTCCTTCTTCTCCTGAAGGTCGGCTACAATCTTCTTCCCCTCTATTGTGGCCTCAAAGCTGTAGACGGCGGAGTCTTCATCCATGGGGAAGACAAAGACCGCTTCCACCGCCTTCTTCTCCTCGTTCTTATACTTGAGAGTCGCCGATATATTGGCCACAAAGCCTGTCACCTGGACGTCAGCCACGATCCCCTGCAGAGGGACTGGACACACACAAGAGAATCAGACAATCAAATCTGGTATTTTTTAGCTTCAGCTATAAATCTGGTGACCACCTAGGAGACAGGTACACTTTAGAAGGTAATGGCCAATCAAACTGGAAACCAGAAACACAAATATTGCAGATTAGGATATAAGGGATTGCAAACTCTGTGCTTAGCTTAGCCCAGTATAGTAAGCTTTTCTAAAAACCAGTCTACCACGCTCAGCCATTTGATTGGTCAGTAAAGGAGCAGCAGCACGCAGAGCTGTCAGTTTGCGGTCTCTGTCAGGTGCTCCCTGTCAGCACATGTGCACTGCAGCAGAGCCACCAAGACTGTGCTCTTTCCTGGTTCTCCTCCTACCCATCTCAGCTCACCTACAACTCTATCTTCTCCGTTCCTCTTTCTGTTGGGATCTCTCGTTCTCTCTCTGCACCTCTTCCCTGGGCCAGTTGATAAGCTCTCATGGCTTCCAATACCACCTCTACTCTGACAACACCCAGATCCATCTCTCTGGCTTGAACACCTACAACTGCATCTATTCTGTTCCTCCCTCTTCATTTTCAGCTCTGTCCTTGGGCCCACCCTATTCTCTCTCTGCACCTCTTCCCTGGGCCAGTTGATAAGCTCTCATGGCTTCCAATACCACCTCTACTCTGACAACACCCAGATCCATCTCTCTGGCTTGAACACCTACAATTGCATCTATTCTGTTCCTCTTCATTTTCAGCTCTGTCCTTGGGCCCACCTTATTCTCTCTCTACATCTCTTCCCTAGACCAGTTGGCAACATCTCATGGCTTCCAATACCACCTCTACTCTGACAACACCCAGATCCATCTCTTTGGCTTGAACACCTACAACTGCATCTATTCTGTTCCTCATCATTTTCAGCTCTTTCCTTGGGCCCACCTGTCAGGGCTCCAGGTATGACCAGAGGTGTGTGGACTGACACAGGGAAACGCAGGCTTCAGGTATAGTAAACAATATAATTTATTAAAAGGTACAACACAAATACAAAACGCACAGTATAACAAAACCAAACTTCCAACTGATAACAGAATGTACACAGACAAGGGCAGTCAGGGCTGGCGAGGTGGAGTGGTCAGGCAGGCCGAGCCCACAGCACGGATTTCCTCAGGGCGCGGGGTCTAAGTCCCAGCCTGCTGTTCACCAGGGCCCCTGATGGTGGGGATGGACTTGGTGCAGACTGGAACCAGGTCGCGACCCCTGAGTGCGTCCAGCCATGGTAGAGAGTACTGGCAGGGGAGTGCGGGAACGGAGTCTGATGGGAAGAGGCAGGCAGACTTACTGAAGTGATCCGTGTGGAATGGATGGATCTTTGGGTGAAGTGAGCGTAGTCAGGCAGACCAGGTCGGTATCGTGCGGGCAGCGAGGTAGAAGAAGCAGGCGGAAGCGGAGTCAGGAATAGCCGAGGTCAGGACAGGCGGAGTTCATGCAGAATCAGGATTAAGCAGAATCAGGATTAAGCAGAATCAGGATCAGGCAGGAAGCAGACAGGATGCAGGTACAGGGGCACATGGGAAACATACACCAAGGCCCTGAACACAGGACTGGCCATTCCTTAAATACACCTGTGTAATCAGTTTCAGGTAATGGCTCATTGTAGGAGTGAGCCTCTGGTTGCTGAGAGCACCCGCTGGCCAGCCCTGGTACTGCAGCCCACAAGGAAGGTGCGTCCCACCACTATTGGCGAGTCCATTCCTGACACCACCTTATTCTCTCTCTACATCTCTTCCCTAGACCAGTTGGCAACATCTCATGGCTTCCAATACCACCTCTACTCTGACAACAGCCAGATCCATCTCTTTGGCTTGAACACCTACAACTGCATCTATTCTGTTCCTCTTCATTTTCAGCTCTGTCCTTGGGCCCACCTTATTCTCTCTCTACATCTCTTCCCTAGACCAGTTGGCAACATCTCATGGCTTCCAATACCACCTCTATGCTGACAATACCTAGATCTCTGCTCTACTCCCCAGCCCACCTCCCTTGATCTCCTCTCCAAATTTACTGAGCGACATATCAGAATGGATGTCACACCATTTCCTCAAATTCAAACTTTCTAAAGCTGAGCTTGTAATATTTCCTCATCCCCGACCCCATCCCTCATGACTTTACCACTGAGATCAATGGCACAACCATTGGCTTCACCACATGCCAGGGCACTAGGTGTAGTCTTAGACTATGAACTCTCCTTTGGGCCCCACATCCAATCACTGGCTAAATCTTGCAGCCTTGACCTCCACAGCATTTCTAGTATTTGCCCCTCTAACAGCACCACAAAATGTATTCCTGGTTATCCTGCAACTTCTTCCTCATTGGCCTAACCTTTACATAGACTATCCCCCTCTCCAGTCTATCCTGAATGCTGCTGCTAGACTTATACACTAACCGATCTGTGGCTGCCCCTCTGCCAATCCTTCCACTGGCTTCCACTAGCTCAATGCAAAAAAAAATTAAAAAAATAAACATACAAAGCCATCCACAATACTGCCCACAACTACATCAACAACCTCATCTTGAGCCATCACCCAAATTGGTCCCTCTGCTCCTCCCAAGACATCTTTCTACTTAGCTCCCTTGTTATCTCCTCCCCTGCCCACCCCCGGGACTTATCCAGAACCTCTCCCTTCATCTTGAACTACCTATCCCTTTTTTGTTCCAGTTAGTTCCTACCCTGTCCACCTTTAGGTGATCCCTGAAAACTCATTTATTCAGGGAAGACAACTCCTCCAGCTAAAAACTGTACTTTGGCCGCCTCCATCAGATCCTCCCAGCAGCTATCACCTTTTGTACCATCTCACCTTCCCTTTAGATTTTAAGCTCTATGAGCCGGGCCCTCCTATCCTTCTGCATTGAACTGGATTGTAGTTGTACTGTCCCTCTTCATATTGTAAAGCGATGAGCAAAATGTTGGAGCTATATCAGGGGCGGACTGACAACTCATGGGGCCCCCGGGCAATAGGGGATAATGGAGCCCCTGTGTCCTTGCCCAATTTAAAAAAAGCCTATGAAAAAGGTACCAGGGGCATCTCATGGGGCCATATACTAAGATAGTTATTTAAGAGGTTATTGAATAAATTAGCGTGTCACCCAATGTATGGTCTCCATTCAGTAGCCAAAAGAGGCATACAAAAAAGGGGGGTTTGTGAAAAGAGATTCACAGAAAAGCGGCTACATAGTGAACAGAACGTGACACACAGGAAGAAATTTCCAAAAATAATGCTTTATTACACATATAAAAATATGACATATGGGCTTTCGCCCTGGTTTACCATCACCTCAGTTGAGACAATACACACAGACCTAAAACCATTTAAAATGACACCAGAACCGGTCTAAATGTATGTGCAGCAGGGAAAATGGCTACAAGAGTCTAGTGTCCCTGTAGCACAAACACACAAGTGAACACTTCCCTAGGGAGGTGTATCCAAAAATTATGCCATGGGCATACCATAATGGAGGATATAAGGGATTAAGCAGTAACCATATAGGCAAATCCCAATCAAGGAATCCAAAAATTATACTAGAGATATGTATATCACATGTATACAATAGAGCAAGCACAATATGCGTCAAAAAGGAGAGTAGCAGGCCTCAGGCCTGTATGAAGGAAGACATAAATGTCAAATATATTATACAATACATTCCTGTGCCGGCACAAGTGGTTGGGGCCCATTCATCTGTAATATAGATAGCTGTTTCCTAGAGCTCTTGGATGGGAATATGCCCCATTTATTTCCAGGATGGAGGAAAAGATGCACAAAGCAGCGCTCTGCTTGAAATGGTTACTTCACCACTACATGTGGACTATACACCACCTTTGTAGGAAAAAACAAGACACATCCCAAAGACTCTTCTGCCTGTTGAAATATATATGGTATATCTTGTTTCCTACACAAAGCACCATGATGTCCCCATCCTGTAGTGAAACAAACAATGTGTGGGAAGTCACTGACAGAGCTAACACTCTATAGAAGATATATAGGTCATATAGATCACAGAGGACCATATATCTAGTGTCCTGTAACAATCCACTCACCACCTGTGCTATGGATAACAGGAATGAAAGAGAAGTCCTTCATAGGTACTGCCATACAGGGCCAAGGCGGCCAAGGAACCACCGCTGACATCCGCCGATATACCGCGGGTTCCAGCCCCTTCTCGGCGCTTGTGCTGCTTAAGCTTGCCTCATGGCATGTGAAGATGGCTTCCTCCTTATGGGTCAGCGTGCGTTCCACCTAGTGCACATGACCGGAAGTGACGTATCTGACGTATGACATCAACGCGTTTCGCCGATGGGCGTATCTCACTCAGCTTCGTCAGGACCAATGAAACAACCGCATTTCAATTTTCTATTTATAGTGGGTAAAGACCCACCCATTTATGCAAAAAAACCCAACCTGCAGTTATTCCTAATGGAAGAAAGAAAGGGCTAAATACTTAGCACAGCTGCTGGTCATTGTTGAATATAGTTAAAAAGACAGACATCTGGAGACAACAGAGGGGGGGAGAGACTTTAGCAATTTGGACGGTGCATATATTGATCAAAAAAACCAGAATTAAATATATTCGTCAACTAAAGCACCCATCACACTCTAACCAGAAGATGGCGATATTAATCAGAGAATCAACAAGTCTATCCACTGAGTCAAATTATCAGAAAAACCCCCATATGAATTACCATAACATACCACAAGATGGCAATATAACCTGAAGATTCTCATTAAGGGTTATTTCTACAAAAATACCCCAATTTTTTTGGATACACCTCCCTAGGGAAGTGTTCACTTGTGTGTTTGTGCTACAGGGACACTAGACTCTTGTAGCCATTTTCCCTGCTGCACATACATTTAGACCGGTTCTGGTGTCATTTTAAATGGTTTTAGGTCTGTGTGTATTGTCTCGACTGAGGTGATGGTAAACCAGGGCGAATGCCCATATGTCATATTTTTATATGTGTAATAAAGCATAATTTTTGGAA